TTGACATCTCCGCTCAGCCAGCGCGTGTGGATGTGTGTGGGAGGGGGGAGCGCGGAAGGCGCGGCGCGGCGCGGCGCAGCGCGCGGGCGGCTTTCTCTCGCAGCGGCGGCAGAGGCGGAGGCGAATGTGCAGGGCGGCGAGCGCGCAGAAAGAAGGTCGGGCGCAGATACAGTCGCCCCGCCCCCCTCCCGGCGGGGCCCGCACGCAGCAGCTTGCAGCGCCGCGCCGCGGAAGCCCCAGCAACCCGCGCCCTTTCCGCCCGCGCGGGGCGCGTGGGGGGCACGGCCCCTCTGCCGCCTCCACGCCCACCGCCACCCCGTCAGCTGCTGCAGCAGCGGCGCACTGCAGACGCCGCAGGCCGGGGCGACATCCTTCGACGCGAGGCAAAAAGCGACCCGAGCGCATCGTTAGGAATAACACTCGGAATTTATTCACACCGCACTTCTACAAATAAACCGAGGCATACGATTACTTCAAGCGTCATTATAATGGGATAAGTCCGCAATGACTATTTGGAAAGAACGATAAACCACCTATGAGGCACGGGATACCGACAAATCCATCAGAGGGTAAATATCAAAGGGACAAATTTAATGACATGGGGAGAGGGGAGGGGCTCTGCACGAATCACGCAACTGAAGTAAACGAAAGACTTCTATAGGATTTCCAAAATACCACCCTGCCCAGACCAGTTCAGAAGAAACTTATTTCTATGAGGTACTTAGGCGAATTTCCTGCTCTCATCACTCCATATATGTTCGAAAATGCACGATTCAGAATCAGTTTACACACACATCCGAGACTCATTGAGAACATCTTCGAAATAATACTTTTTTTCTAGTTCTATACTTATCTATAGGTACATTCGCACACAATTTTCTTACCCCAGTATTATCTGCACCATCCTCTAGAGTCACTTGTTTTTTGTTATTTCTTCCTTACGTTAACAACTGAGACAATGTTTATGAAAGCAAGGTGTTTGATCAATGATTAATTTCCATTAGAATACCACAGTATTCATGAAACTCCCACACGAAGTATTGGAATATTCAAGAAAAATCGCAATCGGAATATTCAAAAAAATTTTTTGAAAATTCAAAGAATTGCATTCAAAACATAAATTTTTAGATTCAATAACGATGATGTAGGATATGTTCAAAAAAGTTGAACTTTTACAATTCAACAAATTTTAGAGATTTTAATAAAAATCGGACTCTTGATTTACTGATTGCTCTATTTTAGAAGATAAAAGTTGGAATTATTCAATAAAGGACGCGCGGACAGACGGACGACATATTTACCCATTTTACAGTTATCAAAAATACAGAGCTCACTCTATTAAAAAATGTATTAAAGAAATAATTTGGAGTCGCTTCTAAGAAAATTTGAACCTTTGAACTTTTTTTTAAGGAAAATATCTTCTGTAGAGTAGTTTTAGGGTAAGGTCGTACAAATTTTGAACTTTTGTAATTTGCGAATATTCGAAGACTTCAATGAGAATTATATCTGCCCCATTTTTTGGTTCTTTTGTCCTATCAGAGGGGTGACATTTTTAAAAAAATTAGCCATTTTTGAGAAAATTTTGAATCTACAATTGCAAGACCTGGAGTTCGGCCAGAGCGATAGGGAATATCAATTTTGGAGAAAATCTAATGAACAATTTAAGCGCTAACGATGACGACGGACTGACGTTTTGCCATAAACATATTATTCGATATCAAGGACCACAAACGTGGATTCTGACTACACAAGCTGTTAGAGACAATAATTTATTACGTTAGAACATGATTCATCCACTTTTTCGATACAAGGGACTCACTGTACGGGTTTTTCTGTTCAAAAATCTCCATATTACGCCTGCATGATTACAATATTTCATTTTTATTACGGAAGTACATAGGCGAGAAAGTAAAAAAGCACTTTTAATTGTCACTACTTAGCAACTAAAGCAACTGGACGTAAACCATTAGACCCAGGTTCAAATCTTTGTCGGGGTGACAACTCTTTGAACAAATTTAATTATTAAAAGCACATTGATTTTTAGCTGCAGAAAATATTGTCAAGTCTTGACGTCATACTCGCAGAACAAATGCGATCATACCACGGATAATTTTCAACACGGACATGTGGAGGTTCTAGATTCACACGCTCTTGTCACTTTCAGTTATGTTAAGTAACATACTTAATGCTAAATATGTATTAACGGCTACGAATGAGAATCGATTACTTTGTTTCCGGGTGAGTCATTTGCTATGATCATAAATCCCGTAAGTGTAGTGCGTGTTATATCCTGGGAGGTGGCGATGTTCGTCCGTCACTGAAACATGATATCCGGCGCCGACATTCACGTCGAGGGAGGGATTTCCATCCAGGTATCTCAGCCGGCGCTATTTTCTTGTAACATATTTCATCTCCGGCGTATTTTTTTTATTGGGAAGATATAAGGTTTACTTTTTTTAATAGAACCATACACTAATTTTTCGGTTGTCCGAAAGGGCTTAAGAGAATGAATTCCCATGTATCAAAATCGAAGCGTATCTTCATATTGAAGTGAATATTTTCTTTTAGTGCGTAGTATCAGGAAAAAAATCCGCTCACAATGCAATGAATCTTTACACTCCAGATCACCTTGTAAGTTTGTATAATACAAGTGGAATACAAATCGTTGGTAACTGATAGTGTCTTATGGTTTTTAAAATAGCATTTGTAAATAAAAAATATTTGCATTATTAGGCAATTTTACTTTGCTCTACATAGTAACCAATCAAACAGTTATAACTTGCACAAGTAAAGATATCATTGAAAATATTTTTATGTAAATTAATATTCAAATTGTAGGTAAATCAGCAGTCGGCAGTCTTTTCATTTTATCTTCACGAGGATAAATCACACATTCAGAAGAGAATTCTCACTTTTCAATATAAGTAACAGATTATTCACGTGGATACTCATATAAACTATGTATTTGTAAGGAGAAACTGGCTGCTCTTCCGATGTGTTCTGTTTAGTAATTTCAGCTTGCAGACTTCAATAAACGTCATTCAAAAAATTAAGAGACAGGGTTATAGGGAAGTTGGCTGCCATATATTCTTCGCATATTTACTTCACCCCTCACGATTGTTTATTAAATTAAGGCCTAAAGAAATGTCAATTCACGAAAGAGCTGCAATGAACATATGGGCTATCCGGTGGATTCTTATTTCTCTACCACCATTCACAACGAACTATGTCATTACACCCGAGTCTTATGCTGAACTCCAACCAGCAAATCGGATGATCCGCGCAGTACGGTCTGCCACGATAATCTACTACGTTACGTGAGCTGGCGTTTACGATTTTATCATTTATTACTCCATAAAGATAATTATGAGACTTACACTTGTATTTAGTTAACCAATCGCAGTGCCCAAACAACTGACTTCTCGCCAATCCGAAGCTACGATCGGTGGTTTCCATGGCAATGCCGCAGCGTCTTCTGAATGTCGAAGATATGGCTATTTTCACCTGATCTAATTCAAAATTTCCGGACCTCCCAATTTTTGACCTAATATTCGCAATTATTAGCACTTGATAGGAATGTCATGCACAATTCTATTAATTATGCCACAGGAAAATCTGTATCTGCTTTGCTCCAATGTGCGTAGATTCAACCACAACTATTTTGATTTTTTTGTGTCAAGTCCCCTAGTTTGAGCATTACTTCATACCTTTAGGAATAGCTACAACAACAAAAATCTGTTAGGGCAGAAAAATCAGCAACCACCATCACCAAAGTGGTCTGTTTTTATCAAAATAAATTATAGCACCTTTTTTCACAGGATTTAAAACTTCACCTGAAACATTTGTGTTTGAAAGGTATTGTCTATTAAAGAGAAAATTTTCCTGATCTTCTGTAAATCATATAATGCCCATTGGAAAAACATTTATGTTATAGATGCTACAAAACAAATGCTATTTCTACATAATGAAGAAAGTAGGTGCAAGTTCAGACTTCCGTTAACTTGCACAATCATTATTTCGGAGAAAAAAATAGCTCTGAGATGACATGGTTCCAATAAAAAATGTCTTTTAAAGTTATCTGTTAATAAACTTGTTTTTCGTTATTGTTGTTGTCAAAACACTAATGAAATAAATGGTGTTTCTGCTTCAAATAAATACTTTTCTCAGTGAAAAACGAACAATCTCAAAATATTGAAATATATGAATCTTTATTTTTATATGCAAAAAGCAATTTTATTAAAATTAGAACATAAAATACTAGAAATGAATTATAATAGTATGAAATATCTAAAAAGTTACGCATTATTAATACACTGATAGAAACAAAAATTATGTAGCTTTTTAACCTTCCAAAACCTGTCAGGAATCTAAAATACATATGAAATTTCTCCATCAAAAAATTCAGAGTTCCATTTGTAACTATGTTTACATTCACTCATTGTGAAAACAGAAAAATATTTTAGCAATGTTCTACAAATCTCTCTAGTCAAAAACTATATACTTTATATTGAGATATATAAACTGAACTAATTGCTTACGATTAGGTTAATCAATAACAAAGGAAATAATTTACCCTACCACACACACACACTTCTTGTAAGAAACAGTATTGTCTCTCATTGAAACAATTAATTGTAAAATGTTTTAACAATGTAATTGACAAACAATAACTATGAACCTCATACACTGCTAATAAAGACAAGACTTTTAGCATTCTGAACACAGACCATACATCAATTTCTTTTCATAAATGAAACTTACCATAACCATTAACCAAAATTTTACAGAAGGTAAACAACATATTTCGCATATGAAATCTTGCTTGTTACAAACAAGCATCTCATACCAAATTTATATGGCATCTTTGAAAAAATTTAACAGAAAAATCTCGAAAGAGGATATTGCTGCATTTGGAACAGAAAGGACACCACCAAAATTTATATCTGGGCCCAATTGCCTTAGTCACTACTTTACAATAACAAAAGTAATCAGTCACATACCTTGTTGTTAGAGCTTTGCATCCATGGGATGAGGCTATCGATGAACTGTCCAATGTCAGAACATTCAATAGAGCTTTCTGGCTCAGCCAGAAAATTGATGAGGTTGTTAGCAATGGTAAGTTTACTTTTTGTATCACTTGTAGCCAGCAATGGCAGAAAACCATCTAAATTATCTGCTGTCAACGCCATGACTGCCGAAACTTTCACTATCACATTAAAATGCACAATTAAAGACTTTTTCGACACTTAACGGCACCAAGAAACACAGGACTATCTACACTCATTTCAACATAACATTTCATTTCACATAACACGGCCTGCTGTAACTAAAAATTAATATTCATAAGCTATTCGATATTCTATTGAAACTTCTTTTAAAACGTTTCTGGCTACACACAAACTAGGAGTAACACGATCCTGTTGGTTTCTCTGTCGCCACTTCCCACGACTATGACGGTTCACTTCTTGGTTAGAAAGCCATAAAAGGTCATGAGCTGATCAGTGAAAGCGATTTCACAAGCAGTCCACCACTTCAATACCGCACAAAACAGTCTCATCAACGCGAACGCAGAAAATTAAACTTGAAAACCGCTGCATGGCTACTACATCAAATTTCCGGAGTTTTCAGGGAAAAGCAGGACCACTCACGAACTATGGATAATTATTAAAAATGTAGAAGGAATGCCGGCACAAACACTCACCTACAAATATTGCATTAAAAAAAAGACACACATAAAACACAAAATCCCACACTCGCTCAGCCAAGAGTCCACCACGATTCCAGTCCGTCCAAATGATCCCTGAATCCCTGAGCGAATCTGCAGGCTTCCCGTGTTCAACTGTCAGTGTCAGGGGCAGTTTCCATCAGAGCTGCCAACTTTGGAACAAATCGTTCAGCACGAAAATAAAATATCCTGATTATTTTGTGGGCGGAACCCTATTCGCGTGCAACAAAGTCGTATTGAGATCAATTTATTTATATTCGCAACAAGTGTGCTAATATTAAAATAGTCTCGTAAAATTGTATGAAATGCTCGTTGTTTCTTTTTCCTCTAATTCGTCTGTGTTGGAAAATCATGTTCCTCGAATTTAAAGAAAATTTTAATTACAATTAGTATTTGTTATACATTGAGAAATAATTTATTTATGTTCATTTTACATTTTATGTTGCAGTATTTCATTTCACGTGAAATAAAATAAAAAAACCCATCTACGATACCTCTTTTCTAGACAATATTTGGATAAATGTGTTTCTTTTTCTTTGGGAGCAGTAAATGTAGAAAATTATGCATCAAATGTCCATAGTAATATCATAAATATAGAAATATCAAGAAGATAATAATACCCCCTAGCAGATGACCCTCCTGGATCCACCACTGACCTCCAGGGGGTCTGACCCCATACTAAACAATTTCAGGAGTTTGCTATTGTTGCAGAAAACATGGTGTTATTGCACGATGGCATACAAAATGCAAGGTAAACGAATGATGCTGTAAACCTTACTCCACCTCTTTGCCCACACCTACTTTGAGCGTTCTATGCAGCATTGTTAATTACAGGAAGATGATTTGTATGTGAAAGGTAGAAATAAATTAAGGAAATTATCCTCACTAAAACACCACAATGAAAACGTAATTGAAATAAAACTTAATAAACTGCTGTATATTGTGTAATTTAAAGGAAACAAAATTCATACAAAGCATAAAAGTAGAAGGCGGACAGCTACATTTTGAGATCACTTCTTCATTTCATTAAACTTGTTTATTTACACATGTTGTATTTTAGTAGGAAATACATGAAATGCAAAAAGATAATGGAATTATATATAAATAATTTGAAATTGTATATAAATAAATTACTTTAAAAATACATTTGATTTTATGCTCAACCACCTACGAAGTTGAAGAGCCCCAAATGCCATATGACTGTTTCCCAAATTGTCTGGTTTAAAAAAGGGGTAAATCTGGAATCAAACATATTTATAAAAATAAAATCATTATATTATGTGAGGCTATTTTCACTGGTCCTTTCAAAATTTAAAGGTGCTACAGTCCCCTGCCTCTAACTGTGAGCACATCTATGTATCAAAGTATAGCACATAATATATTTAAGACTATATGATGAGTTAGAACTGACCTGTTTGGCTTTGGATAGTTCACATTATAGATAATTAGAATTTACGTTCATTTTCTTTGAACTCCTGTTTAGACTAAAAATACATACATACATTCAATTCATATAGAAAAAATATACCTACATTCAATTCCTATTTTTGAAGGCTTCCTTAGGCTAATTTAAACCGTAAAATTTGTATTTCCTCTAAAAATACCAAGGAAGAATTGCCCTGATTATCTGAAAGTTCAAAATTAATATCGAACTAAGGGCTCCAAGCATACAACTTGTGAGAAAAAATACACGATTTTCAATAGGTGCAAAGAAAACTTCATTCAATTAATTCTTTTGTGATCATTCAATCTCAATGTCAGGGCCGAATTTACCTTTAAGCAAAATAGAATAAGCAGATGCTGAAGGTCCCCATCCCAGAAAAAAATCACATAATGAGTTCTAAACAAATCATAAAATATGTGTGTATCTGTAAAATAATTGTTAATCAAAAAGTCTGATTCTAAAACGTATGTATTTAAAAATTAAAAATTATTTGTACTAAAAATGTATTTGTATACAAAAAATTAAAAATTAAATTAAATTAAAAAAAATATAATTGTTATAAACTAGTTACAAACCTGGTTTGGTGTAACTGTTGGAACTTTTATGTTCTTCCTGCAGATTTTCTCTGCAGGATTTGTAATTTTTTAAACCGTGGTTTGCAGAACTCATGTTTATGAGTGTAAGTGTTTGTCATTGTTTTCAAAATTCCCTTTTTGGATGATGAAAGTTTGAATACTTTCTGGAATATTTTTCTAGAATATGATTTATTACTTTAGGTGCAAGTGAACATATGCAAAGAACACTCTTCGTAGTGTATAAGTTAGAATTTAGACTAAAGGACATAGATGGCATAACATGACTTGGTAAGCTAGTTGTTTAGATCTGTGATGTGGGAGAACCATTTTAGATCATCTAGAATAGTCAATCCAAGGAAAGTTGGATTTTGGGCTATTTTTACAGGCATGTTTTTTATCATCAATTTTGCTGGAAGCTTTTCACTAGAGTGGATTCTGAAAATATATTGAGACAGTTTTACTGGTGTTTATTATGAGTTTATTATCCAGGAACAATTTGTGAATTTTTGTCTGTTTGACTTTTGAACCAAAATACTTAAATATATATGCTTTACTTCAAAAAATGTTTTTCATTTTCTTAAAAATGCATTAAAATTCTTGAATTGTAACAAAGGTTTCTCAAAATAAAAATTTAAAAAAAATTATTTGAAGCAGTCATTTTGACTGCTTGCTGAAGTTATAGGTAGAATGGTGTTGCCATCTTTCTAGTATTAAATAAATCTCAGGAGTTTGATCATTTCCCAATCAGTGTATTTTACAGATATTCAATTGAATTACATTAATTATATGTGAATTGATGATGACCAAGCTCTTCTTGAAGGTCTCTCAAGAGAGACAGCACCCTGAAGTATTAAGAATGTCTCCCCATACAATTGTGAACACCCGGGAGAGACAGGTACAAAGAGAGACAGAGGCAGTCATAGATGCAGAGAGATAAACAAACAGAAAGACAGAGAAAGAGAGACAGACAGACAGAGAGAGACTGGGAGAGATGGATGGAGAGACACAGAGAGACTGAGACAGAGAAAGATAGGGACAGTGAGAGAGACAGAAAGAGAAAGGGAGAGGGAAGGAGAAAAAGAGAGATAGAAGGCAGGACAACATATGCCGGGTTCCGCTAGTACTCAATAAGAATTAAAAACCATGCATAACACAACAGGTATCTACACATTAATATCAAAAACAATATGTTAATAACCAATAAGTCTAAATGTTTATGTCTACCGAATATGACTATTCTAAAGCATTAAACTCATGATCTTCCAACTACTCAACTCTACATAACACAACAACTTTATTTCAGTTCTTCCTCATTCTATATTTTAATCCACTTCACCAAATAAGACAACTCTTCAACACAAGCATGAATAATCATTGGATTATGTATTTAATAATAATCATAGTAAATAATAAGTAACAAATAATTAACTATGCTATGAATTAATAAAATGTACAATTTTACATAATTTATTTTTGAATTTTTGAACTCTTAGAAGAAAGGGTTCAAAGACTTTTGCAGGCAACTTATTCCAACCCATAACAGTTCTGTTGGCAACAGAAAAAAGATATTTGGATATGATATCCCTACTATGTACACAATGGTTGGTAAAGTAGCATAGTTTTATTTACCTGATTTATATCACAAAAACGTTGTACCAGTAATCAACTATGGGTCATGAAATTCAGAATGTTTATACTACATATATTAGTTAATAATTTTAAAATGAACAGTTTCCTGTTACACAGCAAAAATGTATTAAAAATTTAAAATACAAATTTTAAACGCTATATTTTACTTTACATACATTATATATACACTTTGCATATAGAAAATGTTCACATATGTAATTTTACTCCTTGTGTGTGAAATATAAAACATTATTATATTTTAACTATATTCTTCTAAATATACTCACTGTAACAATCATCAGTGCATCAACAATAACAAACACGAGGCAAATTAACTATTCTACTACTTTCATATTTCATGAATGACAATTAAATTACATTTTTCACAATTCTGTCTTGCCCTCATAGTAGTCTGCAACTTCATAATAAGTGCTTCCACACCTTTCCGATTAAAATGATGTTCCCCCAAAGATGCAATCAAACTAATAATTAAAATTCTTCACAATATTATTCTATAATCTATTTTCTTTTCACTTAAAAATATCAACATCTTTAAAATAATAAATTCTAATTAATTTAAATAGTTTCAACTGAATATATTAATTACGAACTGAAAGATTGTCAGTAATTTCTGCCCAATGAGTGTCTGAAAATGTGATTCAACTGACTTTTGTAAAATGTTAAACATGTTGAAAGATAATTTGCAGAGACCAGATTTTAAATTGAATTCCTTTCTTGGAAATTGGTGTTGGAAAATTGAATAATTAACAACATATTTCATACACTGTTCTAGCAACAAAACAATGCAATTTTAACTTCCCTTTTTTCTTTTTAACAGCACTTTTCTTTTATTGCTATATATTTTCATCTGATTAGTTTTTTAATAAAGTTATAATAAAATCTCGGCATTTTCAAAAATATTTCAAAAATTAAGTATTATGAAACATCTTGCTTATTTCTCATGTGTAACAAAGGAGCCATATATTATTCTCTTTAAAGATGTAGCTTCATCAATGGATCAAAATGAAGTGTATCTAGGTATTCAGGCGCCCATGGCAAGCGTAGAATTTGCGCCCCTGTCAGGATACTTCAAATTAGGGTTTTTACTTTCTCGTATACATACGGAGCAAAGTGCGTGGTGTAGTGAAAGTTATTTAATGCTGCGGAAAATCGATTTCGAGATTTCAATGAAAATACACGTTTTAGGGCCCCCTGATACTGATTTCTTACTTCTTTTTTTCAAAACGTCCGGCCGCTTGTCTGCCAGCCTGCCTGTCTTTGTATGTCACTGTCTTGTCTGCCTCTGTCTTGTGCGCCTCTACCGCCTCTGTCTGTCTCTGTCTCTGTTTCTGCCTATGTCTGCCTCTGCCTATGTCTGTCTCTGCCTATGTCTGTCTCGCCTATGTCTGTCTGTCTGTGAATATCACTAGTACCTAAACCATA